GTTACCCGATGGGTCAACCCGTTATTGACCCATGACCCGTTGGGTTCTCTTAACGGGTCATTAACGGGTCACGGGTCATAAATATATGACTCTAACCCGTTTTAAACGAGCGGGTAATGAATGAGTTAACGAGTTGGGTAAAAAATTGCCAAGTCTAATGAAGATTTGATGAGCTGTCCTATCATACTTATTTCAAAAAGATTTTAATTAATATGAAAGTTAGATGTGTTTATAATAAATTAATATGTGTTGGAAATGATTTTTATATTTATTAATTAAAAATTAATTTTAATTATAAATTATTATTATAATATTTAATAATTATTAAAAAGGTACAATTCTAACAAACTATGTGTAACGATATTTTAATTTGAGCATGGTCTTTAGATAATACTTATACTATAGTGGGCAATTTTATTTTATTCTCTTCCAAATTCTTTCTTACCTCTATTAAGTTTTAAATTTAAGAGGAAAGGAAAAATTAAGACGTTTTGATATTAAAAATATCAACATGTTTAATCATAATTATTAAATATATAAGGTATAGTGTAATTTCTAAATTTATTAAATTTATTATGTGACTATTATTAGATATTTTGATAATTTTAATATTAAAACATCTTAATTTTTCCTCTCTCCAAATTCAAAATAAAAAGAGAGAAGGAAAGAGTTTAAGCTTTTTAACAACTGAAACGTGGACCTTAGAAAACATTTATATGTTATCTTATAGGTTACTTGCATATTATAGTTATCTTATCTTTTTTGGGATAGGAACTATATTTATCTTATTAAATAATAGTAAAAAAATTTGCAATCATTTAATTTGCATTCATACTTTATATTAAACATTTTCTAATCTTTTGCCGTGCACGGCCTATCAAGGGATGATTAGACCAAGACTCCTTGAAAGTAGAAGACACGTGTAACTTTGTATCCGACAAACAATTCGTTTAACCTTCTAAACAACTACTTCTATTAATTTATACCAACCTATAAGATTATGCCGATTAAAAAACCTAACTCATAGCACTTGGGCCCTTTGGTCCAGTGACATTAGGTTATGTATAAGTACATTTTCTTATTTTTAGGATAACGGTTGGAATCCAACCCCATGCGAATTTGTTCAAAAAAAAAAAAAACCCCAACTCATAAGATTAGCCCAACAATATTAGATGGTTTAATAATTAATGTTTAATAAGATACAAAAAAAAATTAATATTTAATAATAATTAAAAGATTTAAATTTATTGTTAAGTATGTACCAAGTTTATACCATTTAAGTTTTGAAATCAATATTTAAAAAGATTTACTTTTTGTGAATGCACTAAATAGACTTGAAAAAAAGTAGTTTAAAAATGAACTAAACAGGCTCCTAGATGTTTAACTTCTAAAATTGAAAAGATAGTGTAGAATGATTCTTATCGATAAATATTGGCTTTCTTAGGTAATTTTTCAATATATTGATGGCTACAAAGGAATTTACAATAAACAGAGCCCAAACAAACTTGAGTTCGTTCAAGGGATTGATGCATTTGTAGGTTTAGTTCAGATCCCCTCTCCCCTAATATGTTATGGGGGTGACCGGGGAGTACCTGTTGGAGTAGTTTACAGCGTGGTAAATAGCTCATTTTGCGACAAATGTTTTAAAACTTAGCATCATCCTTTCTAATATTTCACACATTTCAGCGATGAAAATGAGACCACATTTCTGATCAAATCATATTCCAATAAAACTTTTGCAATCCATTTGCGATACAGAACCCCTAAAATCCCGAAGAAGTTTTGTGCATTATCTGTAAATTAAATTTCCCTTTTCCTTTGAAATAAACTTTTTAATAAAAGCAGTTTTCACATTAATTTTGCATTAGAATTATATGTTCAAACATTTATCACAAGTCTTATTATAATTGGTTAATGTATAAAGTTAGAACAACAAGAGTTTAGTTAAATTAGGATATTAATTTAAAAACTTGAAATCATTAAATCAGGGATTTAAAATCTTATCGTCTGGAGTAACTTCTAGTGTATTAAATAAAAATGGGTTTTTTAACTTATATTTAAAATGAATTAAGGTTAAGGTGTATTATTATATTATTTTGTAATAAATTTTTATAAAAAAGTTAAAGTAAAATATTATTTTAAAAAATAAATATTATTTTTAATACTAATACTATTTGTATCATTTTAATTAAATAATTAATAAAATTAAAACTAATTTTATTTTTATATAAATTTAAATAATAAAATACAATTAATACATATTTAACCTGTACGGATACGTGTTAGAGTTAAACAAACCCAACAAAATTTACAAAGTCAAAGTAAGCACTTAGTTTTTCAGTTAATGGAAAAAAAAAGAAAAAAAA